AGGGCTGTCGACGATCCACGCATGGAGGTGGGCGAAGTTAAGCTTCTAACACTCCACCTTGGTGGCGACGTGGTGGAGAGATGGTCAGCTATCGTGCGCAGTCGACAAGAAACCCTACTCGACAAGGCAACTCGTCATCGAGGTGGGCCGCGACCAGACCAATCTTGTTACCTATTGGATCACCTACATAGTAGGTAGGGAACCAGTCAGGTTCCCTGTGGTCGCTGGTGTACTGTGGATTGGCTTCCCCGTAGGGAATGCTACTCCGACCAGGGCTGCGAGGCATGCAGCGGCTGTCCCGAGCAAGGGGCCACAGTGGAAAGGCCGGGAGAGAAAGCACAGCTGGGAACGGCTCAGCTCAAGCTCCGAGACTCCAAAACAGCACGCCGGGATCTGGAGACTACCGACAACCATGTCGGTCTTGGGCATATGTGGTGGTATTAACGTAGCAGAAACCCGGATGAAGGGTGCAAGCATGGTATCGTGGGGTTACACATTGAGAGATGCCGCAAATTGTAGCATACGGGGTACGGATACTCTGGTACAATCTGTGCCACGCAGCGTGCGTTAGGTGGTAGTATATGCAGCAGTGGAGTAAGTATGTGCTCTATTACGAACGTGCCCTATTCGGATCAAGGCGGCGGCGGCGGCGGCGGCGGTAGCGGCGAGTTACGGTGAACATATGTATGATGTCTGCGGCGTCTGATGGACGGGACTCGGACGAACGATTGCCAAGTTGGAGAGACGGAGAAGCCCCTTCTGATATCACCCTCAGCAGAGGAGTCGAACATGGGATGGAGAAATACCGACGCGTCTCTTCAACCTAGTCGGGCGGCCTTCTCCTGCACAGCACGGTTGTTGTCCGAGATGAACTGAGATACCTAGGTGTACGTAGTTCTCCGTATAGACAGACAGAATCAACCGTACACTACCAACCGCGCCTCGGATGACATTCCAGACGCAGGGCCAAAGAGAGTGTGTGAGACAAAGAGGAAGCCACGAAGCAAGAATGTCCAAATCGGCGAGCACGGCATCTCTAGAGCCCACCTGGGAAAAGATTCGCCCACTCGGCTGCGATACGTACCTGATCCGGTGGGTCCACAGACCTTTGCACACCACACCACACCACACCTTCATCACCACCCGAAAAACCGGGGACGCCAATTCGGTACCGGCCAATCCCAGCAGTCGACCCGAGAAGTCTGAAACTCGCCTGTTCAGCGGCTTGTCCCCTGCATCAAAGCCTCCAGCCAGTACCTGCAGCGAACGCCTGCCAACTGTTGGCTCATGTTCCTCGGTTTTTTTTTTTGCTTGTCGACGGGACGGCACTCAAGATACCTAGCATATGTGTCCAGAGTAGGTAGGTACGTACCCCAAGAAGAACTTGGGAACATCCCTACTGGCCTGCCATTGAGATCCAAGAACCCCCAAAATAACATGCGCCGAAAGGGGGGGGGAGGGTGTGGTTCTGGCTTAACGCAGAAATCGAGGAACAGTAACACCAGAAAAGAAAAGAAAAAACGGTTCAGGGGTCCCGCCCAAGAACTGCACAGTTCCAAGCCTCCCACTGATTAACGTGCTCTAGCGCCGGCCCCCTTTCGCCCTGTCTCGATGATCGTCGACCTGCTAGCTAGGTAGGTAGCTGCAAGGTAGGTAGGTACCTTGCCTTCCTAAAGTCTGTACCGATACCGCGTACCTTGCCGTCCGTCATTCTCTGCCGCCTTCGCCTAAACCCTGAAATGCTTCCCCTCCTCACCCTCTTTTCAGCTTGACCTTCTGCTCGTTTCGACCTGTTTACTCTCTCTTCTCATCCCCTCCTCCTTGTCCCCGCCCTCTTTCCTCTTCTTCCTACAGTCTACTCTCCTCACCTATCTTATACCCGTTTCCTTGTAATTACCTTCGTTTTGGACATTGGCTTGTTGTTACATCGAGACTAACGCAAACAAAACAAGAACACACGCCACTATTGTAGAACCACAAACTCGGTCGTTTCTCGCTTCTCTCCGACCTGATCTCTCCCCTCGCTCGACTCCCACACCACGTGGGATTGGGGTTTCGCCCACCGACAGCCAGAGCCGGGTTTGATATCCGTCCACCTGTACGCTTGCTAGACTGCAATCGCACAGCGAGTGGCCTCTCTGGTCCTGATCACGTCCCGTTGTACGCCAGCATTCCAAGCTGCTCCCTCGATTAGACGCACACGCGTCCCCAACATATATATCGTACCTCCGGCATGCCGGGACCTCTCTCGCCGCGGCATTCGGGATTCTTGCCTATCAGCAACAGTCAGTCCATCGACATGGCTGAAAGCGATATCCCTCTGACCCAGGTCCGGAGTGCCGCCTCGACTGGCGCACGAAAGCCCGCCATGAACCTCTCCAACGCCGAGGATTCTGGCTCCGGCACCAACGAAAAGCATGGCCTTTTCCAACGTCACAACAAGGGCGGTCGCCGTAAGAAGCACGGCGAGCTGGGCCGCCAAGGAACCGGTGGCTCTGATGATGTCAAGGTCAACGCAATGGGCAGGTTGTACAACAAAATCACTGGCGCCTCTGTCGTCACCCGCTACTTGGTGTACATCATCCCCATCGGCCTCCTTCTGGGTGTGCCACTGGTCGTCCTTCACTTCACCGATCACCGAGAGGATGTCTTGGTGGGAGGAACCAAGGGCAAGCCGCTGTTTGATCTGTTCCTGTGGATCGAAATCGCCTGGCTTACACTCTGGGCCGGCAAATGTGTTGCCTGGGTCCTCCCGCATGCCTTCATGTTCTTCTGCGGAGTCGTCAGCTCCGGCACGCGCAAGTACGCTACCGTCCTTCAAAACTTGCAAATCGCCTTCTCGCTGTTCTTCTGGGCCCTTGCATCTTGGCAGTCTTTCCAGGCCCTGTTCAGTCGTAACAATCCCGACCCCGCCCCATGGATCATCACAATGATTCGCCTCCTGGGAGCTACCTTCGTCTCATCCGCCGTCTACCTCGGCGAGAAAGCCATTGTCCAGCTCATTGGTATCTCCTACCATCAGCGTTCTTTCGCCCTCCGCATCAAGGAGTCCAAACATGAGGTCCGCCTTCTCGGTTTGCTCTATGACGCTTCGCGTACCCTCTTCCCCATGTACTGTCCTGAGTTCGAGGATGAGGACTATGTCATCAACGATAGTCTCGAGTTGATTTTGGCAAAGGCCGCGAAGGGCGGGCAGGGCGCCGCCACTCCCCTTCGACTCGTTGGCGATATCGGCCGCATGGGAGACAAGATCACGGGTGTCTTTGGCAACATCGCCTCCGAAATTACCGGAAAGCAGGTCTTCAACCCCAACTCGGCCCATTCCATCGTCGTCGAGGCCCTTGAGAAGACCAAGCCCTCCGAGGCTCTCGCCCGCCGCATCTGGATGTCTTTCGTCGTCGAAGGGAAGGACTCGCTGTGCCCCGAGGACTTCCATGAGGTGCTGGGACCCGCTTACTCGGAAGACGCCGAGGAGGCTTTTGGCATGATTGACAACGACATGAACGGAGACATCAGCTTGGATGAGATGACGCGCAAGGTTGTGGAGATCGGCAAGGAACGCAAGGCTATCACCGAAGGCATGAAGGACATTGGCCAAGCACTCCGCGTGTTTGATAAGGTCCTGATGTTTGTTGTTGTCCTGATTGTCGTCTTCATCTTCCTGGCCTGGTTCCAATCCAGCTTCCTGACCGTAAGTCTCCCCTTGCTGTTGCCACCAATCTCGCTAACCCGATTAGACTGTCGCCACCGCTGGAACCGCTCTCCTGTCTCTCTCCTTCGTCTTCGCCGTTACTACCCAGGAATTCCTCGGTTCATGTATCTTCCTCTTCGTCAAACATCCCTATGACGTCGGTGACAGAGTTGATATTGTTGGCTCCGAGAAGCAGCAACTCATCGTGGACAAGATTTCTCTCCTGTACACCGTCTTTACCCGCATCGACAAGATGCAGGTGGTGCAAGTCCCCAACATCACCCTCAACAATCTTTGGATCGAGAACGTTAGTCGCAGCAAGGCCATGAAGGAGGTCATTGACCTGAACGTCTCTTTCGACACGAGCTTTGAGGACATCGAGCTGTTGCGCCTCGAAATGGAGAGCTTCGTCCGCAGCCCCGACAACTCACGCGACTTCATGCCGGACATCGCCATTGGCGTCGGTGGCGTTGGCGACTTGGACAAGCTGCAGCTTAAGATCGCCATCAAGCACAAGTCCAACTGGCACAACGATGCCGTCCGCGCTACTCGCCGCTCCAAGTTCATGTGCGCCCTGGCCATGGCCATCAAGAAGATCCCCATCTACGCTCCCGGAGGTGGTTCTGAAGCTCTCGGCGCCCCTGGCAACCCGTCTTACTCTGTAGCCGTCTCCGATCAGTTTGCCGCGGCTGCCCGTGAACAGGCCTCAAAGAGCAAGGAGGCGAAGCGCCTGGTGCCCTCTCCCGCCGCCGAAGGTACCAGCACCAAGCCGGATTCCAAAATCGAGAAGCAGGCCGTTCAGGAATTGAACCTCCGCGACCCAGTGACCGAGGAGGATTGGGGTTACCGGGTGGGCGACGACGACACTCTGTCTGGATCCAGGGACCGTCGCTCGGCCGACATTGAACGTGTCCGCAACGAGCTACTGAAGCGAGCCAGCACAAAGGGTGGTGGAGGTCGTCGCAAGCCCGGTGAAACCATCCCATTGTCCCCCGTGGGCGACGGGCCCAGCTTGGGTCTGACGCAAACCACGTCGCGAAATCGCCCCTACGATGAAGAGGCCGAGACAGGCGTGTCAGACTCCTACAGCACTACCTACTACGGCGGCCAGTCCAACAACTATCCTGCCTACGGTCAATCACTGTCCCCTACCGTCTCTCCGCCCCACCCTCTTCAGAGCGCGCCGGCGGCAGGTCAGCGTCCACGCGGGCGCAGCGTCTCCAACACCCAACAACAGAACGAGGCTGCTCAGAGTGGCCAGAAGAAACAGTAAGCAATGGGGGGCACATATGAAACTTGGGATGTAGAAAAATCGGAGCAAAGATTACAATACCAGCCGGTCAATTGTTATTGACACGAAGCGTTTTCAATTTTTATTTTTGTTTTCATTTTCAATGTTTTTTTTTCCCTTTTCATTATACGCGGGCATTGAGACTGGCTCCCCCTCCCCCCGTGCCTGATGAATCTTCTCACAAAACTCACATTGTGGGTGAAGGGGGTGAACACATAGATTACGAATAGAGTATGACGACATGTTGCCCGCCGCTGAATAACTAACGTGCCTTGCATAACGTGATCTGTCCTGACCTATGTACGTCGCGAAAGCCCTCGGAGTGAAGCGCGATCATCGTGCTCAGCACACGTGCTCGACTTCGCCGACGCCCTCCTGGGGCCCCAGGTCCAGCTTGAGCGTGCGGCCGAAGAGCTCCAGCAGGATCTCGAAACAGACCTTTGTGATGGCCGGGTCGTAGCGGCCCTTGCTGAGCTCGTCGCGGATGAAGGCGTGCTGGGCCCAGGGGAACTCGTAGAAGCCGGTGACGACGCCGGCTTCGCGCAGCTTCGCGCGGATAAGGTCGCGGCCCTCGGGCGGGACGTGGGTGTCCTTGCAGCCGAAGATCATGGCGACCTCGGCGTGGGTGAGGGCCGGGAACTGGTCGAGGGTATGCGCGCTGCCCGGGGGCGGCGTGGCGGAGGTGTTCTTGGCGTCGTGGGGGCCGAGGGTGCGGCTGTGGATGTCCGTGGCGAAGTAGGCCACGCAGGCGGTGATTCTCTTATCGAGCTGGGAGTTGTTAGGAATGTGCGGGGGAAGGATAAGACGGGGAGGAGTGGCATGTAAGTGGGAAGCGGGAAGACAGCAGAAAGAGAGAGAGAGAGAAGGGGGGAAGACGTACGGAGGCGCGGACGGCGAGGTGGCCGCCCAGACACATGCCCGTGCTGCCGATCCTGCCGGTGCAGGTCGGGAGGCTGAGGAGGTAGTCTACGGTGCGGCGGGAGTCTTCATCGTAGGACTCGAGCGTCTACCCGCACATTTAATGCCTTCCGGTTAGCTTCCTCTGCTTCTCCATGATTTGAAGGGGGCAAGATGACGACTACCTTCTCAACCTTCCAGGCGTTGCCCTTGTCGGTTCCGGGAACGTCGTAGGCTAGGGCCTCCGGGCCGGTGAAATCGTGGTAGGATGAGGGGGCGGCGACGATGTAGCCCTGGCCGGCGATCTGGCGGGCGAAGCGGGCGACGGGGCCGGTGACTATTCAAGTACTCTCTCAGCACAGACTCTGCATGGTGACTTGCGCCCATCCAAACCAGGGGCTTAAGTCAAAAGACTTCACCGTCCTTGGAAACTCCTGAAGGCTCGTGAATGGAAATAGGGGCAGGTTCAGGACTGGGGGACATGAGAGTCGAAATCTCGGTGAGGTCGGCGAAGCCCGGCGGCGGGGTCGACAGGGCCCCCAGTACGGGGGGGGGGGGGGGGGAGCTTCTCAGAGCCCCCCACCATGGGGAGAGAAATGATCTGGCTGACTGACCTTGGTAGATCTCAGAGAAGACACAGACGCCTGGGAATTTCCTACGTAAACACGTCAATTGAATTTCCTTTAAAGCACGGATGCGGTGCGCGCGGAAGCACTTACGCGTTGGGGTAGCCGGGGATAGAGGGGTGAAAGAGAAAGATTCCTGGTGTTGCAGTGTTAGCCGTCCGTGGTGGCTCGACACTCGGGTTTGGGTTGACTCACTCATGGAACCCTCTTTCCCGTCGGCCTTTGTCGGCACGTCAACGTGAGACTCCTTGATGAGCATCCTGGCGGCTGTATGTGGACAATCCGGATGGGTAAGTCTTATTGCAGAGGCTCTCACAGTCAAAGTTCGTCGTGAGAAGTGTGTTGAAGTTGAGCGGTTTGCGTCTCATTGGTTGGGCAGGGTCGAAGGTCCGTTTCTGGCGGGGGACTTAGTAAGCCCCTCTCACTCGTCCTCCATCAACAACACAAAACCCCTAGACTCTGCACAAAGTTATCAGAATGTGCGAGAATGCATTTCTGATTGATTAGCGAAGGCTCGGGAAGGAGGGAACTTTCGGCTGAAAGCGGCCGAAAGCCGAGTTGGAAGACCAGGAAACGGCTACTTTCAAATATATACTGACATCTCATTTTGTCCCAGACTCCTATTACCCCGATAGGTGCTCCTCCATGATTCTTCCCATGCTGGCTTGAAGCCATCGATTCGCCGGATCACATGCCTAATGCTTGCTTGGTCTCCAAAATCCAGTGCTCCTCTAAGCCTGGAGGAAACATGCCCGTCATTCGTATACCCATGTGCTTCTTCGTACCATATTCGATCGATATCATCCCGCTCTTTGCTAAATCTTCAGACGCACCGTGCCCGGGTAAACGACTGCCATTCTTCCTACATTCCGAGATCTTTGGAGGCGTCAAAGGTTTTGTTTAGCTGCGCCGTGATTCCAGCGCGGAGCGACTGTATCTCCTTGCCTCTCTTCTCCGATAACGCCAACAAATCCCTGTACTTCTTCTCCCACTCCGATTCGGCTTCCGCCGTCCCCTTCATATTTGGCTTCTCTGCCATCTCCTCGGGCCGCCGCCACCGGTCGTACTCGATCGTGTGACACATAGTGTAGTTCCCCCGGATCGAGCCCAGCCGGAATTGCCAGCTGCAGCTGTACGTTGCACGATCTTCGAGCTCCTCCTCCCGCTTGCACCGCAGCTTACGCGTTGACATCAGCGTCCTCCCACCCGCCAACGCGGCGAGATTGAGGAGGAAGGCATCCTGGTTAGGTGCTGTCTGCCACATGCGCTCCAACATCGTGTGCACGATCGCGTACGCCTCAGCGATACTGCACTTGCCGATTGGGTTGTCCTGCGCGTCGAACCAGTCGCCGTTGGCCGTCTCGTTAGCGAGATATCCCAACACCTCGTCAATGTTGGTGCGGTCTTCCATATTTTCGAACATGCCTTTGGAGAGGTCGTTCGCCGAGTTGGAGTCGCCGTTGCCTTGCGCAACGAGTTGCACGTGCGGGATAGACTGCGCGTGTCGGTTCATGCACGGCGTTGTGCCAGGTGGCGCATTGCCGTTGTCGGTTTTCAATGTCGCTGATGGTGCCCGTGTAGCCGGATCCATTGGGTTGGGTATATGTTGAGCCGGATCTGCATTGATCACGACGACCGACGGAGGCGGTGTCGCGAGGCGGACAGCCCCTCCTGCCCGCTGCGGGACTTGAAGTGAGATACTAGGCTTAGCCGGCCGTGTCATCGGAGGTGCATGAACGATGTCTGGAGGCATGGTTGGCAGTACGTTGTTGGCAATCGGTACCGGGGATTTAATCAGCCCCGGATCGCTCTTGGTCTCAGAACTTGGCCCCTTGAGGGGTGGTTTTTCGGCCGAAAATGCCACAAACAACCCGTCAACACTTGTCTTGTTCGTCGGCGGCCTGCCACGAGTCTTGCCGGTGCCTCCCGGACCACCGCTCCTCCACGCAGATGACACAACCTTGGCACCGTGTCGCCGATTTGAGGCCTTGGGTCGCGACGGTGTGATTGCCGACCCGGGTTCGGCGTCGCCCCAAAAGCCCCCACTGCGTGTTGACGGTGTCAGCGCAGACATTGACCCTTGGGGGAAGGCCGTCAGCGGCGTCTGTACCGCGTCATGGACCGGCGGCCATGCCGATGCCAGGGCTGAGTTGACGCTCAACCTGAAAGAGTCGGGTTTGCCGAACGAGGACCGCCCATCGGGGTGGGCAGACCATGGCCCCGACGTTTCTATTCGGTTCGGGGCATACTCGTTCTCGACCAGTGGCGAGTCCAACCTCGCTCGTTGCGAAGGGGACCTGGAGGACTCGTCCTCGTCTGGACGTTTCCTCCCACGCCTGGGCCGGACCTGTGGCAGAAGAGCTCGGAGAGCCATGTCGTCCTCTGCCAGAACGCCATCCCGTCCCGCTTCGCACACAGGGTTCGGGTTCTTTGGGATCTCAATCCAGTACGGATGAGGGTGACCCATCAAATACTCAAAAAAGGCATCCACGTGCATGGAGTGCATCCAGCGCTACAAAAGGTCAGCCTATCCTCTCCAGCCAGCTACCAAAATTCAATCACCTTGAGCCGGACAGCATACTGCTGGATCTTCTGTGAGCTCTGTCCCTTATCCTGGTCCGGCGGCTCGACGCCCAGCTTGAGCGCCAACTCGGCCCACGTCTTGACTTCTTTAGTCTCAAGTTGCCTGATGAGTTGGAACAGAGTAAAGGTACTAAAGCTCTTACCGCCGCTCTTGGGCGGGACCCGAAACGCCTCCCGCAGCGCGATCGCGTCTGTCTCAGGAGGCACGGCAGGATTGCAGTGCAGGATGAAGTTGACGTAGGCGTCTTCGATAGTCTCTGCCGTCACGTCCCTGTCCGGAAGGGCGGGCCTCACGACGGAAACTGCGGGAGTTGACGTTGTCGATGGCACTGAAGTGATAACAGCAGCAGCAGCAGCCGCCGCCGTCTTGTGCTGCTGCTGCTGATGATGATGATGATGCCGTCCCGTGGATAGCGGGGATGGCCCATGTGGGTCGCTGGATTGCAGCGGCGGTTGAGGTTGCCGCTGCATCGTCGACTGCGGCGACATTATTGCGCGTGAGTCGATGTCGAATGGCCCAATACGTCGAACATCATCATCGGTCGAGTATCTGCTGAGTCGCGCATAGAGGAAGGTGGTAGATCAACAGCTTAAAAATGCGACGTGGATGAGGGTCAAGGATGTATCGTCGTAGAAGAGAGGGTCCCTGATTTTGGACAAATAGGGTCCTTGAGATGATGGCAGGCTTGGCGTACACTGAATACTTGGCGGCTATAACCCCAGCCGCGTTTCAAGGCCTCAAAGGAAGGGAATTCAAGGGCTCTTTTGGATGGGAGAGGCTCCAGTAACTTAGCCAAACCTCAATCAATTCCAACTGAAGAAAGTCTGGGGTCCAGTTGGGGGGGAGGCTTGGAGCTCGCCCACGGTAAGGTACGTGCCTTTGTCCGGCAGCACTTTCCAGGGGGCAAAGCAACCGCGCCAGGACCGTTTGGATGTTGAATGAAGTTCCCCAAGGCAGAGTCTACAGACAAGCTGATATTGTCCCCCCCCTGTCAATCCGAGAGTACCGTGCACGATAACAGCGATAAACCTCATTTCCTAAAGGCTGCAGTTATATCCTAAAGGCTGCAGGTTCAAATCCAGTTTTCTTGGATTTTTTTAAATTCCAAAACGGCTCCGCCGGGGAGGGTTGGAATGGTACTAACCCACCCTGCTTCCTACGCTGCGCTCCGGGTCGGGATGGGCCAAGACCATCCCTTTTGCCTCTAGAGATAGTTGTGTTATCACTAAATCCACTATCTGCTGAGCTTTATTGCTGTTATTGTGCACGGTACTCTCGGGTTGACAGGGGGGGGACAATATCAGCTTGTCTGATTCCTCCCCAAGGCATGTCGAACACAGTGCAGACTTGATAGTACTGTACAATGTCATTATTATCCAGCTTCCCCAGATTGTCTCCTAGTAATTACGTAACCACTTGGCCTTCGCTTTCTTCTCTGCAGCCCCAGTTTTGAGGATACTTTCTATATAGTGCTGGCCTTATACAGTTAGTAGATATAACTTAAGCTTGTGGAGAGCTCAATCACTAACGTTGATGAAGAAAGGCGTCAATGCGAACTGCAGTAAACAAGCCAACGAGCTTGGAGACGTGCAGCAACATGGCTCGATACGAAGATCAAAAAGAATGGAAAAGTAGCTTTGCAAGTAGTTGTCTCTATTCGGCAGACGCCGCCTGAGCAAGCACAACGGCAAGCCAAAGCCGGCGCCGAAGCCGTAGCCGTAGCCGTAGCATGGGCCTTTGACTAATCCATATTGACTAATCCTCTTCGGACGGCACCTCTTAGCCCATTTCTCCGAATGACGTGATAGCCCTTTCACAAGTTCATGGCATTTTATGGTTCGAATGGCTGCATTTATCAGCTTTGCTTTGAAATACAGTCACTTAGACGTCAATGGATGTATAATAAGGCAGAATCTCGCCCCGAAAAGAGAAATCCTAATCCATCACATATTGATATCGCATCACAAGAAACTCTCCAACACCACCCATCTCATCGTGAACTCCCCTCATCATCTCACCGTATATTAGAAGTAACACTACAGCCCTACCAGACCCCAACATGGCCATCGACAGAGTTCCCCGCGGCGACGTCCGTGCAACCCTCAACTTCTTCGCGGCGCCGGCAGACAACTCCGCTCCCTACAACATTATCCACCCCGAAGGAACCCCCGAAAGGAACTACGGCGACAGCCCCACCGAGACCGTCCTGCACGACATCCGCGGCCGCGAGTCCGACTTCAACCTCGACCGCGACGCCTTCGCTGTGATCCGCAACCTCCCGCCCTCTTCCGAGAAGGACTTCGTCGAACACGCGTCCGTCGAGAGGAACTACTACCCCGAGGTCGAGAAGCTCATCCTGGAGCATGTCCCCGGAAGCAACCGCGTCCTGTTCTTCGACCACACCATCCGCCGCGCCGACCCCAAGGCCCTTCGGAGCCCCGTCACCCGCGTGCATATTGACCAGACGCCCGTCTCCGTCATCCAGCGCATCAAGAGACACCTGCCTGAAGAGGCAGACAAGCTCCTCGCCGGCCGCTATCGCATTATCAACGTCTGGCGGCCGCTCAACAAGAACCCCGTCGAGTCTTTCCCGCTGGCGTTCGCGTCATCCTCGACGCTGGCCGACGAGGATATCGTCCCCGTCGAGCACCGCTACACTACCGGCTACACCGGCCAGACGGCGGCCATCAAATTCAACCCGGAACAGAAGTGGTACTACTTGAGCGGCATGACGGGCGATGAGCGGCTGCTACTTGAGTGTTTTGACAGCGAGGGCCTACGCGATGGCACGGGCGTGGCGGGCGGGCGGGTGGCTCATACTGCTTTTGAAGACCCGAGAAGCAGGGCCGATGCCGAAGGTCGTGAAAGCATCGAGGTCCGCGCCCTTGTCTTTGGCCCATGAAAGGTCACTTTAACATACAAGTCATATACGAGTCAATGAGAACATGAATGTTTGATTATGAACATCAGGGTATCAATGCGGGCGGGATGTTCTACCTCCGGACAAGAACTTGTCTCTCCGTAACAGCAAGCCCCTTCGCCATATGCCACCCTGTGTGCATGCGTGTGTCATGAGATCGGTGAATTGTCCACGTAATACAATCCTCCATCGTGAAAGCTACTAAAGAAAATAAGAAACGCAAGCTTGCTCGGCACGGGAACTCGACCCGCCGCGATGAAAAGAGGCTGTTATCCCCGAATTTGTCCACATACACATGGAGAGGCACATGGCCAGTGCCACCCAATTTTCCCAAACGCCGAAACACCTTCCAACTTCTCGTATGTCATCCCTAGTTCTTGCGGCCCTTGCCGCGAGAGCTGCCCTGCCGACTCATGGCTGCGCCTCCTGCTGCGCTGCTGTTGCGACTCATGGGAACCGCAGCAACAGCCGCGAGAGACGAAGGTGGAGCCTCGTCTCTGATGCTGCTCTCAATCGGCATCAGATCCTCTCTAAGTTTCGTCGGATCCGGCCGGGGGCCGGGCTTGAATCCTGTGTAGGGAGTGTTGGTGTACGGTGTGATAGCAGCCTCCAAGAGCTTTCTGCTACCGTTGGGGTGATCGATTGAATCGCCGGGCTTGTGGTTCGCGTCATACTTCTTGAACAGGTCCATAACCATGATGTCAGAGTTGATCTCCTCGTGCGACAGCGGTTGAGGCAGGTTGCCGTCGGTGTTCCCTCTGACTGGCTTGAAGTAGTTCGTCACATTGACCGCCGGTAATTTGGCAGGCTCATGTGGCTGCATGATCTCAAGGTACTTGGGTAATTCGAGGCCATTGGCGCCCTCGACAGCATCGATCAGACTCTGGTTGATACCAGCCCTTGTGCTTCTAGTAGCGTGAGAGCTTGTGCGTTCCATGGTCGGGGCCGACAGAGTAGGCTCGCTATCCTGGTCACCGTTCTCGTCGCCTTGACCGGAATCGCTTCCGGGGGAAGAACCCCCGTTCGCATAGGGCTTGTGTCTAAGGACATATTTGTGAGAAGCAACAGCAGCTTGGTTGTATGCCAGAGAGAGCTCCTTATCAGTGAAGAGCTTATCAATACTGTAGGCGGGTCCATTCTGTTTTGCGGCAACACGGAGCTTCTCGTTCTGCCAGAGAGGCGTCGTGCTGTTAGGGTCGAGCACTCGTCTAGTGGGGACGGGGGAGCCATCGTCTTCGCCCGGGTTCCTCTTGCGTTTCTTGCCGTCCGCGTAGCCGGCGAGCTCCTCGGCATCTTTGCGTAGCCTTGTCGCACGCTTCCCGTGAGTGCCTCCAGGGCTGGCTGGGTTGGTTATGCTGAACTGGTTGGGGTGAAGGAGCAATGCCGAAGAATCGGATATCTCCAGCGCCTCCTTTTCCTTGTTCAGACGGTATTTTCTCGAGAGCAGGGTATTAACGAGACGGTCACGAAGGGTAGCAGAGAGAGCTTGGTGCTCGCGCTTCGCCGTCTCCACCTTGTAGACGTATTCGTTCTTGTATTGCTGGAGGCGGCGCTCGTGCTCGTGCTGTTGGTGCAATGATTAGCTGAGCCGAGCAGGGGCAAAGGGAGATAAAAATCGGTTGCACTCACCATGTGTTGGAGCAAGTGGAAATCCCTGTACTCAATGAGATCCTCGATGCCTTGAACGAAGTCTTCGAATTTGGGACCGGCCATCTGCAGCAGAGTGCGGTTGCTGTCAGACAGCGCATCTTGTCCCTGTGTCTCTTCATGTTCTTGACGCAGGCTGGCGATGACATTCAAAACATCGTCGGCGTACGGGTCGATGCGCTGCACGAGATTGGTGTCGATCTGAACCTTCTGAAGCTGATCACGGTATCCGAGATCGCGGTCCTTGCTGAACTTCTTCTGCAGGTTGGCGATCTTGTCGGCAAGGGCCTGGCGCTTGCGGTCGCGCTTCGACTGGGGCGCCGGAGAGGCTCGCCCGGCCTTGTGTTGGGCAGAGGTACCGCCCAAATTGGGGGTAGACGCTTCGTTGGCTGCCATTGGGGCAGTGACAATCAAGCTCGTGTATCGTTCGTCCAACTGCGCGCTTATGGGGTTTGGTTGTGGAGAGTGGTTGTTCTGGTTTGAGAACGGGACGCTGGTTTGGTGATGTGAATAGCAGCCGTCAACCGTCGCAAACCGGAGTTCGAGCGAGATGAGCTCTAAGGAAGGGGAGAAGGGGAAGAATATGTTTAACAAGGGTTTCGGAAGAGAGAAAAATGAACTATCAATCGCTGCTCTAGAGCAAGGGGAATTCCGCCCATTCGCAGCGCCAGATCTCGTAGAGATGTTTGTGTGGGAGAACAAGAACAAGAACCGGAGAAAGTGAGGGTACTACAAAATGGACCGGTCGTACTGTGGCTTGCCTTGTCAGCCTTCTTCGCGCTAAGTGAGTGCATGTATTTCTGTACCTGACTGCTGGAGGGGCTGGGTTTTCTTATTGGATGGGGGTTACCCGATGACTTCCGCAGGGGCCAGGCTGGTTTAGCGGGCGGAAGGGATGAAAAATAGCAGCTTCCAGCGCGCTGTGCAGCACGCCGAATTTCACCCGGGGACTACAGCTTCACCGTCCTCCGTCTTGCGCTTTGTGGTGCTGCCAGCTGTCTCGTTCTTGTTTTGCTGTGTCGTTTGCGCTGTTTCGCAAAACTTCAAGTACGAGGGCGAGTTGTCCGCCTACTATTTGTGAGTTCGTTCTTCCTTGCCCTCCACTTAGCTCTCTCCAGAAATTCAAAGTGAACACCAAGAGCGGGACGGGGGTGAATAAGGGTGCAGGTGACAAGGCAAGCCTCAGGCAACTTCAAGGTAGAGTGACGGGGCTGAATGTACACACCACCGCTCACTGACTCTAGCAGGGCACACTTTCCAATGGAATGATGTGCCCTTCGACTACCTACCTAGAAGAGTATTGAAGTCACAGCCCGAGGAACAACTCAAAGGTTAAGGCTCCCATTGAACACGCTGTTTCGGCACACCAGGTCGGAGGCTACGGGTAGAATGGTTCGTATTAGAGGACCACTGGCCGGGGTAGAGTCTAGAGAAACAAAGGCTGTTTCGACAACAGGCTTACATCGGAGTTGCATTGCGTTTGCATTTCTTGCAAATGACAGGCCTACTAGTCCTATAATCCGTTTCTGAGCTTCTGCAGTTGGCCCATCAAGCCATAAACGCCGAGATAAGTCTTGTTCTCCGCTGCGTCGGCATGAACACTCCCTTTCCTCGCCCGTCCATCGCCCCCATCCCTCCTGCTCGCTTGGTCCACTTCCCTCATGAGGTCCCTGTGCCGGTCCTCAACCATCTTGGCCAGGCTCTCGATGAACCTTGTCCTGCCCTTCTCCTCTGCCGTCCCCTTCCACACCTGATTCAGCTCCTTGAGCTCCTCGATGCGCTGCGCCGCCTTCTCGATTCCCTTGACCGGGTCTTCCGACTTGGTCAGCAACTGCGAGATCTCGTCCCGCAGCTTCTGGAGGACCTGCTGCCCCTTCTCCTCCGTGCTGTGCTGATCGGATCCGGGGTCTGGCGCCGAGACGGACAGGAAGGACGAGCTGACCGAGAGCTCCGACGGCGGGAAGACAAACTCCATGGCGTCGCCAAAGGTCTTGATGACGGTGTCGAGGCGGGAGCGGACCACCGTCAATGTCCGCAGCTGGTGGATGTACGGCGGTTCTGTAAGTGTCTCTCCCTCCGCGGCAGTGCCGCCCTCGTCTGCCTTGGCGGTTCCGACAGACTCCCTCCTTTCTTCATCATTCAAGACTTTAGGTGCCGTCTTGTCTATAGCTCCCTCGTCTAGACCGCCAGGCGCAAATTTCTTAATGTCCTCCTGCAGCGTCTCATTCATCGTCTCGGCCAGACTCAATGTCTCGCCTCGCAAAAGTTCTACCTCGTAGGCGAGTCGACTGCCACTCCGTAAGATGTCGTCTGTCAAATGGGTGAGCGTGCCTGAAAGCCTCGTTGTGTGAATGTTGAGTTGAGATAACAGCGCCTGCGCCTCGTTGGACAGTTCGGCCAGCGGAACGGCCTGGCCCCCGTTTCGAGATGCACGATTGCTCCCGTTCTGAAGAGGGGCCAGATTGGCGTTAAGATACGCGGCAGGGTCAAACGAAGGATCCAAGAAGTCATGAAGGAACTCGTCCGCTACGTGGCTCGACTTGGGCTGGATGGTCGACTTGGGCTGTTGGCGGGTATGGACGGGGAGGTTTTTGGATGCAGCGGCGTTGCTGCTTTGGCGCCGGCGCAATGCCGTCTGGGAATCCCACGACATTTTTCGGAAGAAGATATGACGGTCAGAGAGTTTCGGTGTTTGCCGAGTTCATACAAGACAATGCCTCACAGAGGACAGGTCTCATCTGGACGACTTGAATGAATCCATGGGGTGAGTGAGAGGTTGGTTGGTTGGTAGTGTGCCCCACTTTCCCCCGTAGTTGGTCTCCCTTAAGCGAACACAACGGTGGCGCTTGCTTCGCGGTGTTTGGTTCGGCGCTGACCACTCCTGAATCATACTTTCACGTCCAAAGTAAATATTTACCGCGTGTTTGAACGACGAATGCTATTGCATTCTTAAATAATTTTCGAGAATAAAAATAGGATGCTTTACGACAGAATATCTTTCGCCACTATTACTGGGTATCTTTTGGCCACAAAAGCTCCCTTTGGTACAAGGATCGAATCATCGACCCAAATACAATAAACCATACAACTATTAAACACGCGGCCATAACACATCCGGAGACCTGCAGTCCCCTGTTCTGAAATACTTTCCCAAGGCTTGTGGTGGCAGTAATCAGCGCCGTGTTCGGAAACACGAACGACCACCATGTCATCTGGAAAGACATTTTCTTCTTTGGCCATATAACTTTCCAGAGCGACCCAACGGAGACGATGAAGAACCATAGGGACAGGCCCCATAGCCACAGACCGATAAAGGCAGACATTACTTTGACAATAGGCACGGCTATGTCAGTGCCTAGGAAATTGCTAGGCAGGATGGTCGCTGCCTCGTTGCCGAGTTGCACTTTTAATGGTTAGTAGGACTTATTTCACTCGCAAGGCGATAACAGTACCTAGTCCTCCCACCGTGAATGCAAATGGCCCGATAGAAATAAACTATATCTTGGTCAACTTGGCGCTACTTCGCGGCACGGCACAAAGAGACACATACCACACCAGGACGTTGGAACTCTCGGGGAAGCTTTTGTGTCATTAACCGGTAGATGAAGGCAGCCGAGATCATGAAGGCAATCATACAACCCGCACCTTGAGTAGCCACGGCAGAGAGGGCAATTGCAGGAGTGTTAAGAGTGACGGTGTGTTGATTGGCCTGGGTTGCGGCTTGAATGAGGTTGCTAGCAAAAGGTGCCGTGAGAAGAAGTGGATATGCTGGAAATACCCATGTCGGTGTCATGGTATGGATAGGGAAGGCTCTACAGCATAGTTAGTAAGGCCATATTTGCAGCCAGAGGGAGAGACTAATGCTCACGTTGTCGACCACAGAATCAGGTAGATAGTCGAGCTAGCTAGCACGCTCAAGGCTGTATAGGACCAGAACATAATCTGCATGACTCTGAGAAGCCAAGGGCCAACACGTGGAACGCCGAATTGGCATATATTGATCGATATAATGGCAACCCTTGGCATGTTTAGTTGATATCCTACACCGTTGGACCAATGAACTCACGACACAACGGATGAAGGAATAAAGAGGGACTCAGTCTGGTCGGCGATTGAGTGTTTGAGCGAGCCTGGTCGAAGCTTGAAGCGTAAACCAGCAAGCACACAATTCATGATGAACAGGATGATGTTGAGGAGAAAAAAGGCGGTGGCCACGCCGTTGAGCCAAGCGGCGTCATATGGAACTGTTCAAAGTTTAGCGGATACTCAATCCAGTGAAACGAGAAATACCCACGAGAGTGTATTACATTTGCCATTCCCCCGGTGGCCTATGTCATGTCAGTATCCTAGTGAAGCAGTCTGTCGTTCGTTGTTTACCATTGTCTGCCATTTGTTAGCGAATGGTTCGATAAATGGAATCCGGTTTACTTTCCATTGTGAACCAGGTCCACGTATGGCACGCGATGCGATCTCGGATTCCCACCTTACGGAGGCTGGAGTGGTTAGCTTTGCCGGCTTTCTCGTTGCTGGGAATGGACTCGTTCGAGTCTGCCCGCGCCTCGGTAGGTGGATGAGCCGCCCCATGCACCGGTGCCGACTCGGGCCCGTAAGAAGAGTAGAGGAGGAATGGAGGGCGTCTGAGGGGGGAATTCGGCGTCTGGAAGGAAGTTGAGGGAGCCTTATTGGCATGAGCGAGCCACGAGGGGCGGCTGTGCTCGTCAGGAGTAAGGTAGCCATCTACCATTTCATCGGAGGGGGCCATTTTGCTGTAGGTGAGTCCCAGTCTTCGGGTCCCCTTGCCAGTAACTTTGAGACGACATAGAGCGGGAAGAGCAGGCTGGGCTCAGCATTGGAGAGGGCGATGTTCATATAGACGAGATTGGTGATGAACACAACGTGGTCGAGGAACAATGACCCAAGATCGAACAGAGGCATGCTCAGAAAAGGTCGGGCGTTCGGCGACGCAGGTTTCCACGCAACGCCGGTTGAGTCCAAGGAAAAAAAAAAAAAAAAAGGGCGGTCACAGGCGTGAGGGGATAGCGTTGACGCCCCTAAGAGGTTGTGGGTGGGTGGATAGAGTCAGATGCCTGCCCTGGGCGTATCGTGCAAGACCAACAATGCAGATCCCGGCTCTTTCCCTGGGCAAAAACAAGCTACGAACTGTCCTGTGGCTGCGGCCAAGGTTGCGTTGTGTGTCGGGTTCCACTCGGCCTTGTCCGCCGGCTACTATGACGGGATATTTCGGTGGTTCGTGGCCAACGGCGAAGGCGACAATGGTTGGGAACAACACCCACCACGATAGGGTTTTGTCAGAGGCTTGATTGATATCAGGTTACAGGAAAATGGTTCAGTTTGACGAGTGAGGCAGATCCCGGCGAGAAGCTGAAGTGTAGTGTAGAGAGTGGTGCCGGTGTCATCCAGAAGCTGGCAGAAGAGTGTGGCAGGCAGGTGCAACATTTAGCCTGGCCTACTGGAGATGCCCAGAGACTCGGGTCACCCTGCCGCGGATGACGCAGTATGACTGGGGTACCATGTGGGGAACATCTATGAACACGGCATCAAAATTTGAAGTTCAGCCAACAAACAGCGGCTACCCGAGTTATTCCCGTGATGCCAGGCTCAGCCGCTCAGCTCAATTAACCCAGATTCAACATCTCCGATCAACAAGGACTGAAAGGGTGGGTACGCTTTTGTGGTCGGTATAGTGTAGGATGTTGAGAGCGAGCGAGCAACATGGTCAAATGGCGGGAAAACAATGGATGGCCATCGTATCTGTAGCGCTGGTACGGAGGCTAGTTTGTCCGCGCTAGTTCTCTGATCATCGGCATTTTTTCTTATCTTATCGTGCTCACCTACCTTAGACATACAGCTGCTGATAGGATACACCTCGCTCGCAAGCACGCGGAGGCTTGCTTACTGAGATATCGGAACCGTGACCCACGACTTTTGACCTCACACTCGCATTGGCGCCTGGGCCGGTTGTTGTCTAATTCGACTTCGGCGCGTCCAGCGGTTACAACACCCCTCGCTGAGCGTCAGTCCTGACCTTAGCGGTGCAGAGATTACACCTGGCAATCCAGCTCTGCGCGCCTACCCTGCTGCTATCAGGTCTTAGAAAGAAATGGGCCCCGTTGGACATTTTGGAAGGTACCTGCTCCGGCAAAGTGCACCGTAGCTACCTAGGTTCCTCCTCGCGCATCCAAGGTACCTACCGTCTATCAACGACTGACGTTCCTGCTCCTCGACAACACTCCTCATTCAGACCCCCTCAGCCAGTGACCATGACAGGTGCGCTGCGTCTTCTCGACCAGTTGATTCACGAGACAGGACTTGACGTCTCCTCTTACAATGACGACTTCTACAATCTCTCTCGACACATTTGTACTATGCAACCCAAAAACTGCCTCTTGTGTTACTGTTGCGAGTAATTTTTCTCTTCGTACCCTGTCGTCTCGGACATCCTTGTCATCCGCGGACGAACTGCTCGTTAGTATTCGAGAGGGCGATATACTGGTAGAGAAAGCCCGCTCGTTTCGCCTCGTGGTCTCCATAGTACTTGAGGGAAAAGACTTGGCGGATCGCCATGACTTCATTGACCAGGTCGCCAGCCACCTGGCAGACTGCCCAGTGAGCGACATCCAGAGCCTACGAAGCATGAAAGCTAACGCATAGAAAGATTTGGTCTCAGCTAGGACTTCTCGCGACTCGCGATAGAGACGATGTCTGCAGCTTGCGGCACCTATCGTTCACAGTCACACATCTTGACAGAACTCCGTACCCAGACATGCCTCCCAGCACTATTGTTGGGATATTACAACACGTCACGTGTTCTTTTCACTTCCACCGGGATTTGCGCTTGTTAGAGGAACCCGAGATGATAATTCTGGATCCCTGCTTCGGTTCAATCAGCGATGTGGATCCTAATGGCTGGCCTCCGGGATAGGACCCGAACGACGACGTTGACGAATCTCCATCTACACAGGACTCGGGCGTCTGTCTCCCAGATGATGAGGCTATTGCTGGACAACATCCATGGAAGCAAGAGTGTCTAGACGACAAGGCAATGCCCTCTTCCGCCGTAATGTGGCTACTAGAAGCTGGCCTCGATACTCTAATGGTCGACCGAAGGCGTTCTGCCGACATTCAAACTATTCAGTCCATGGGATCTCCCCCCTTAGCTCACCTTATACCTGAAATTTTTAATATCAAGTATCTTTCGGTATGACAGTTCTTTCTTGTGTGGAGAGGATGCATGATAGCCACAGACAAACTAACACGATACAGTCGCTTGCCTCCCGATCCTACCTCCTTCCAGGCTTGTCATCTGTGTTCGCAGTCTTGGACGGAATCGAGTCCAGGCGAATACAGGATTTGATCGAGGACAGACCTGAAAGCCAACCTAGTGAAGCTAACGACCATTTGAGCGAAAATTTCTGGCAACAACTATGGCGGCTGACACGGACAAGACTTCCGCCCTTTCAGAGGGGCGACTTGCAACAGCGAGGGGTTCGCGAAGCAGCGGCATCGGACAACGATGCCCTTTCGACAAAGGAAGTTGAGAGGTCATCTTGCTACCGACCCCTGTCAAGGGATCGAACTTTTGCCGACAAGGTATCAAATCGCGAAGTTGGTACAGAGATTGATACCTGCAAGAGCTACGACATACAGGACCACTTTGCGGACTCTGATATGGGGCAGCACGAAGATGACGTTGATGAGTTGGCATCTGAGGCGAATGACACATATCGCTATTCCTCCCCATTCCTAAGCATGGATGACATTTCCTATCAATACGAGGGTGAGGTGGGCGATGTTGGCGCTTCCCGCGTTGAACATGCTGTCGACCACGATGACAGATTCGTTTCTTTCAGCTCTGGGGTTGTAAGCTCGCTATTCGTACCATTCTCTGGAGATGCCAGCCCAGAGGACTTTGAAGCGAAGGACCTAGACCAGACAGACCTCGAGGACAACCGAAAGCTGAGTCGAAAGCCGATGTCAATGACATTTTCGACGGGTTCGCAAGCCATTGCTGCTCAGGCTCGAGAACCCTTTAGCAACTGGTGGAGTTCTGATGTTGACTCTGGGGAAGAGCAATCCGCGACGCCTGACAACACACGCGGACTCCAAGAGCGAATATCACCACTTCCTCACAGCGATTGTCATGTTATCATGATTGGGGGAGATAACGCAATTCCACAGCCACAAATGGAAAGGGAAAATGATGCTGAAAGTGGCTCACGAAACGATGACAGAAGCGTTGAAGGTTCTGACGATACTTCTTGGGAGCCGTCGCAAACCCGCTGGTACTCGGCCATGCTCTTGGAAGAAATCGAGATGGAGGACCATTCCGAGGATGAATGGGCAGTTTAACGTCGTCCCAGGGAGTCGGAGGTTGTTCAACATAAACACTCCGCCAGTATTTGATGGAGGCCTGACAATTTAATATGCAATGGTATTGTGCAAGAAAAATGAACGTCGAATGCAACCTGTGACATCCGAGCATCCTAATAAGTGTGGCTCGATACTCTAGAACGGCCATGCAAAACCGATCCAGCTCTCGAGTCCTGGCTCGGCCCATTATCCAACCTTTCGATCCACCGCGGGGTTGCTGTCGGATCCAGCATGGCGACGCCTCTCCCATCGACAGTTTCGGTTCATCGTACGACAATTCGATGGTGATCAAATCGATATAATCGCATCACCCCACATGACCCAGCTCCTATGCACAAACTCTCCAACAAGCACGCTCCTTGTTCTCTCCAGCCTGCGCGTCCTCTTATTTTTTCCCGCCCTTGGCCCCCCCCTTCCTAGGCTCCTTCTTCTTCTGCTGTTCGGGTTTCAAAGTCGCAAAGTGAATGTACCAGAGCAGGACGCACTGAAGGATGATGGCGAGAAGGACAATCAGGAGAATGGTGAAGAGAATGGGCTGATCGTTCAGGACGGCGACGGCCTCGGGCGTGGCGCCAATGGATCGGAACCAGTCGAATTGACCCATCTTTGCGACTTCAGGGATTGTGGTGTCGGTAGCTGACGTTGAAGAACGAAGGAGGCGCGGGCTCTTTTGGCGATAGTAATATCTGAGAACAAATGGTCCTTTATTTATCGACGAAGGGGACAGGAGGCGAGTAGTTCGTTCTCAGATGGTTGCGACAGTATGGACTGCGGGGCTTCGGATTAAATGAGTACTGATAGAAGGAAGTCAAAATGAAAGTCTGAGTCTCAAGTGCGCCAGTCACAAGGGAAAGAAAAGTACGGATTGTCGGAAGCCGGATTAGATGTTTTTGTTGGAAACACGAGATATGAAGAGGCCCGGAGGAGGAGAGAAGGGAATAGGAGGGTTCGTTGGGGCTAAAATGTACGAAAAAGATCCGCCCGGCTTCTCGAAACGGGGGACGTCACAATTTGGGGTGCAGTCAAGGTACGAAGGACAATGGCCCTACAGTGGTCAGTGGTTCACACAGGCCAGGCCGCCGTTGTGGTTGGTGGGTGAGACCAGGACGCGACATGCGGTACGCATCGTGGTGGTCAGAATGCGTGGGAGGCGGCCAGGGGAGGGGGAAAGGGACCTTCGATGCGTTTCAGGCCTGCGGCAGAAAGTCGACTGATGTCTGCGGCTAGTGATTGGCTACCCAGGGACAAGCTGCAGCGGTTACTTCGGCACAGTGCAAGGGGGCCCGTCCATCTCAAGGAAAAGGCCTTGTCGGCGTCTGCTTGCAGGCCTTGGATTGAGTGCTGCGATCTGAAGGAGCTTTGAGCCAACGTGGCTGCGCATGCGTGGTGATGCTGGCTAGAAAAACATGATTATCGCCGGGTCCAGCACCCGCGGCTTTGGATTGATACGCCTCGAACTGGAGGATAGCGCGAGCATGGTACTTTTCGCCAAGATCTTATAAGTTAGCCCCTGAGCCACTGTCCAGAATGGTGTCTTATCGTCTCAGAGGGTCTCGCCCACCGAGGTCATGTGACTATGGGAACATCTCAGTGCCATCCGTCCAAGTCTGCACGGGCCACGAGCGGCAGAAAGCCGGATGCTGTCGACCAATGATGTGGCGTGATTCGGCCTAAGGCAATGTGAACGATGTACGGAGTACGCTGATCGAATTGAGCTTTCCAAAAAAAAAATTGTCGACCAGCTGGCGTGATCCTGAGCTCAACCCAAGAGCCCATCACGCGACTACAAACACCCCAAGGCGACCATCACACCCTTTGCTGCCGGTAACGAACTGGCGCAGAGACGTCGCCATTCTCTCCTGCAGCGATGAACTCGGTACGCCCGGCCCGGAGCGTCTTGTCGAGATGTGTCTCCGTCTCGAGCACACCGGCCCTGCCCTGCCGTCTATTCCACAGCTCCGTTAGCCGGTCGGGGCGGAGGCGGTCACGATTTAACAATGTCACCGCCGAAAAAATGGGACTGACGACCCCCGATAAAATTGAGTCGTATGCGAAGCGCCAGTTCCCCGATTACACAGAGGAGGAGAAGGCAGCTCTGAAGCAGAAGTACACTCCTGAGCAGTGGGAGGCTCTCGAGGCGGCCGAGGCGGCCATTGACCCGAAAGACCTGGTGATCCAGGGTCGGTTACGGACGGACCCCTACAAGCAGCCTTATATCGAGGATTTTGCGACGATCCGGCCGATTATCGACGCGAAACCTCAGAAGACTCTGCAATCTAAAGAAGTGAAGTGGCTCCCAAGGAGAGAGTGGGTCGACGACTACATCGAGAAGATGGCAGACCGGGTTGATACCCAGTTAAAGGACACCATGGGCCAGGCCTTTGCTAGGGCGCTGCGCAAGGTCAAGAAGACGAACCCGGACAAGCTCGACTTCACGGAGGAGGAGCTGAAGGAGCTGGAGACGAACCCCGAGTTGCGCAGGAAGTTCCTGGTTGACCAAGACGCCGATGTCTTGGGAAGCAAGAAGCCGAGGGCGCCCGCCGAGTCGGAGATTGCAGGCGACAACTGGATGGAGTTGATCGACAAGCACTTTTTCGAGGAGCTCGAACAGTCCCTCTCCACCGACCAGAACCCCCTTCGCCCCTCCCGCCTGGACTCGTGGAAGGCCATTGAAGGCGAGGACGGCAATACGGCGCTGTCTCCCGAACTTGGCAAGGTCGAAGGTGTCAAGGGCCTCTACAAGCCCCCCGAGGACCCTGAGGACGACGGCCTCGACCCCACAGGCACCTACATTAAGCTCAAACAGGTCACCGGCATGAAGATGGCTGACATCCTCTCTATCTTGACCAATAGAATCGTCCTCAGAACTGTCTCCAACCAGACCCGTCTGGGCAAGATCCGCAGTCACTCCGTCATCGTCGTGGCCGGCAACGGCGACGGCAGACTGGGCCTGGGAGAGGCCAAGTCAACGGATGCCACTATTGCCACGGAGACGGCCACCCTTCTTGCGATTCGCAACATGAAGCCTATCCGCCGGTACGAGAACCGCACCATCTACGGCAACGTCGAGGCCAAGATCTCGGGAACCGTTGTGAAGCTTGCCGCCCGTCCCCCAGGTATACTACCCCTTCTTCTTCCTTTTTCCCGACTACGCAGAGGATGAGACTAACGCGAATATTCTCAGGTTTCGGACTCCGCGTCTCCCACAGGATATATGAAATGGCCCGCCTCGCCGGAATTCACGACCTGGCCGCCAGTATCCCCCGTTCTAGAAACCCTTACAACACCGTCTACGCCGTCTACAAGGCCCTTCTGAACCAACCCGACCCAGAGGAGATTGCCATCGGGCGCGGGAAGAAGCTGGTCGACGTCAGGAAGGTGTACTACGGCGGCTCTGTATATTAATCTGTATACCACTTTGTATACCACTGTAAATGTTCAAAAAAGCGCAAATCACTAGACTTCCTCCTATGCGAGCTTGCCGGTCGTAAGCCGTGCGCAACCGCGCTTAAAGACCAGCATATTTGTGGTTTGTGCCAATGTTTGCAATTCGTAAGGGGGGGTATCTCCTCTAATCGTGATCTCGTCATCTGCCTGTGCATTCCTCGCTTCTCTCATCTCGCCCCAGCTTGCGGCAGTGGTAGATTTCCCAAGCCTGACCTCGGCTTGGTAACCTTCACGACCCAGCACGGTTCCTTACTCGTCCCGCTCGTCACCCTGGCTCTCTGCCCGGTCGCCCCAGTCAATCTCCTGCTGCAGCACTATGCTGTACACGCTGGCCTTAAGGAGCGTGAAGACCAGGCTTGTTTTGCGCTCCAGCTCGCGCAGGCCGTCGAGGATTTCGGTGCTCGGGGAGCCGCTCAGATCTTCCAGTGTGGAAGCGAGCTGCGGAGGTTTTTCAGCGGCGTCAGCGACTGTCTGCCAAGGAGATGGTTCGGCGAAATGGAGAGAGGGGTCAGGGGAAGGGATTCGGGGTTGGGCGAGGTCGGCAAGGTCGGCCACGCAACGAACCTTCTTCATGTTGTCCGCAAGCTTCTCGTACTCCTCCAGGACTTCTGCCTCCAGTGGCGTCAGCTCCGGCTGCGAATGCAGCAATGCTGATTCTCGTCCTTGTTCCATTGTGTGGGTGTGCGCGTGTGCTATCGTGTGTCGGGCTTTGTTCCGCGACGCTAGTTCAGCGAGCAAGGTATTTAGTGTGGTGTTTACATGTAGAGTCGTGCAGGCGGAGGTCCTTTTCGGTGAGGCGCGGTGGGACGCGTTGTTGCATGAACCCCGCCGGAGTGAAAGAAAAAAAGAAAAAAAAGGCAGCCAAGCTCTCCTCAGTAAGCACTTCGGTGAGGTCCCAATGGTCTTGGGTATCGAAGCGGCTCGTGCGCCGCCAGGACATCACCGATGCCACCTAGACTCCATATCAATTTACCCCAACGTCCGTCCAGACCTCCTTCCTTCCAGACATCCTGAAGCAGTAAAGGAGAGCAACGCCAGCAACGTCTGTGCATGCTTTGTACAGTCACAATCTACCATCGACCAGTCTGAGTCAGGAGACAAGATTTGGGGCCTAGGAAGGTCCGCAGAAAGTACCTATATGGCTAGTCTTTTACGCCGCGGTGCTTACTCACGGACTCTAGCGAGTGCCGATAATAGGGCATTCGCATGGTAATCTAACCAGCCAGGCTTCACACGCTGACTGCGTTTCTGATTGTTTCTGATGGAAGAAACGGCATTAACCCCCGAGAATTCCTGTAGGTCACTGCAGGGGTTCAACGGTGCCGTATAGGTCACAAGGTCACCTAAGGGCTCTCACATTCATATCCTGAAAGTCGTGGGATGGGTTGACGTGGCAAGCTTGTTATTTCCGAACAGCTCCAGAACTAAACTAGAGCATAAGAAAATCAACCCACCATTTCGCGACAGTTCGGCCATGGTGCTGCTACGGCGGACCGATACCTACTCCTTAGACTCGAGTCGAACTAGACGGGGCTAAGAGCTTTGGTATAAGCTCAATCCCTGATGTTAGCTCAGGTCACTTGACAACTACTCTGACAAGTGTAGGGCAAAACAATTTCATTCATAAAGGGTCGATCTCGTTTGTCTGCGTTCTGGGCCGATTGAGGTGTTGGAGCCGATGAACGACGACATCAGGCGACTTTCAACCGATCAGAGACTCATTCCTATTCAAGGGCAAAATGGTTGGATCAAAAAACTTTGAGCAATCACCACCCCTGACGGCTAGCGACTCGCCCGACCATGCGAAGCGGTCCAACACGCCGGCGCTGCTTGTACGCAGGTCCTCGCTGATGAGCAAGTTTCCCGAATCTGGCTCTTCTGCGTACGTTCTTGACTGGGAAAACAATAGCTGCAAGCAGCGGCTCCTCAATCATGCCGACGACCTTTTGAGAGAAGCGGTGGGTCGGAGGCGACTCACGATCGTTCAAGGGCTTCCGTTGGACCTGGTTCAGGTTCTGAGGGACTCATTGGGCGTCAGTCCTGGTTTCCTCGAAGCACATGCGGGGCGGCGGCCGCATCGATCTTCGAGGCAGGATGACGACACGAGCTTCATATCCTTCGAATACCCAGAACTTATCAAGACAGCCAGGGG